GATAGTAGATATTTCTGATGCAGCCTCCATCCCAGTTACCATGTGTGGAAGTCTTTTATGTATCTGCTCAGGACATCTGGTTTTAGATGTTGGTTGACCAGCATGTAAATGCTTTAAAAAATGTATAGCCACCTACAGTTTAAAAATTTGAAGCAAAAGAGAAACTTTTTGAGCATGAAATAATCAGTTTGTTCAGAATGAAGACAGAATCAGTGCTAATAAGGGTGTTATCCTTCTGAACTGAACCTAAACTCATTTGTTTGTCAAGTATGCATCAGGAAACTTGCTGATCTGAGTCTTTTCTTGTGTGCTTCTTCATTGAAATATAACTCTTGTGATTTAACTATAATGATTAAATTCAGTTGAATCTCTAAAAGGATTTGTATTTTTGAAGTTTTGGATTACAGATTTTTGGGAAACTCACCAACCAAACTTTATCTTCCTTTCCTTTCACAGGCTGCCACCACTAACACCAAGTCTGCACTTAGTACCAGAAGTAAAAAAACAACTCTACCAGCAGATTTCCAGTTTCCTCCAGAGACGCTCTCCCAGCTCAGCCTCAAACCCTCCAGCACAGTAAGACTTATTTCTTTTTACCATTTCAGGCCATACTTTATGTTAGCATTTTATAATTTAATCAAAATTATTAACTTTTTTAGATTCTTCTAACTCTGCAGACATGATTTAATATTTACATCTATTTTATTTTTAGTGTTTTTTTTAATATGGCTTGCAGTATCACATGGACTTCTTATTTACCTCTGATGTAAAATGCGATATCTCAAAAATGATCTCGGATGTGTTTGAATCTCATATCAACTGTTTGTTTTGTTTTTGTTTTCATAAAATTGGGCAGTTTTACAGTCAGTATGTAATTTACTCAATATTTCCGTAATTGAGTGCAAGTTGTTTGGGACGTATTAATATTGATCAATCTGGTCTTGTTTACTCTAGTTAAGTCCAGAAGGTCAGAAGAGGCTGTCTGCAGAGCTCGGAGAAGGCATTGGAGATTATGACTACAACAACGCCAATGACACAGCCAACTTCTGTCCAGGTCTACAGGTCTGAAAAACTCTTTTTAGCATCACTTTTGATTTGATTCTAAGAAAGCTCATTTCAGGTGTTCATTTATCTCAAGGGATTACTTCAGCAGGTAGCTCCGCACATTTCATTGGGCAGGATTTTAAACCGCATGCCTGGACACCTTTCACTGTCAATTCTGAATTGATTATATTGTAAAATCTTACTGTTTCTGGTTTATCCAGAAGTGGTTTGGGTTATGAAACACAAATTTTAATCTTAGGGTTGTATTTTGATGTTGCAATGACTACAACAATCACTAGTATATATTGTTTGCATTAGTAAAGAAATAAAAATTCATATTTTTCCTTTTTTCTGATCAGTTACAAATGCCTACGACTCGTCTTTTCCGCGACATTTGACATACTACACATGTGGCCTGTGTCTAACCATGTACATTAAATGTGATTATGCAGAACATCAATGTCTGTCTCGGGCCCTGTGTTCAATATGGCGGCAAACTGGCACCTACTCCCCCTATGTAATACATCAATTTGTTGGAAGACCAATAAATGTATATTTTTTAGTAGAATAACCCCACTTTTTCACCATTTAACCACATCAGTGATTTCTATCCACTGTTTTGCTGTTCCTGTCGTATTGAGTGCAGTCATTTATTCTTGTCTACTGCTAGTATCTCCTCCTGCACAGCCTGGTTGTACTTGTGTGTGTTTTTTATTGCATATTTTGCAGGTACTGTGCTGTGCTGGAGTTTGATGTAGTTCCTTATTTAGGTACTAAATCGTGATCGGAGGCTGACACAGGGCTGTCAGTCTCACAAATGGGCTTGTCTCACTGACTGTGCTAGGAAACAAAAATACATGGCAGTGCTATAGCAATTATATCTCTATATGACATTTTTATATCAGAGCGGCTGTTTAAAACCTTTTCTTTTATGTATCACACACATGTGACTGACACTACATGGAAACTACACCCTTTCTGCATCAAATCTTGTGGTAGAAGCTAAAAGCAACATCTAACCTGCTGAGGAATGAAAGAATTAACAAATCCCCGTCACGGCAAATCAACAACTGATTAGAAACCACATGTCAAATCTTTATTCATCTTCTGTTTCAGGGAGGTGACAGTGATGATGATGTTGAAGGGTTTGCTGGTTCAGATGACACACAGCCTTCGAGTGACAGCATGCCTCCGCCCTCACAAGATCTCGAGGGGCTGTCCACCTATGGGGAGGAGGATCTGGTACCTGAGCCACACAGGGTGAGCAATGCAACTAGTTTAGTCGTGCTTTAAGTGGCTCTTCCCTTTAGTACCATCTCTGCTCAAAAGCTTCTGCAGTAATATCTTTTTATCATACCCCACTGAAAACTAGAAGATGGAACTGAAACAACTGTATGACTTAGGACAAATAATCATTAATAATGGATACATTATAAGCAGAATTTTTGTTTGTGAACTTCTATAGTTCTACTTTTATTGATTGTTTTTGTAGGTCAACAAGATTGAAATCAACTACGCCAAGACAGCAAAGAAAATGGACATGAAGAGACTCAAGAACAGCATGTGGACTCTTCTGACTGACAGCCCAGAAAAACCCACAGAGGTAAATTACACACCGCGTATTAGCTTCTTTTTTTCTGTGGTGCATACAATGACAAATTTCAGGTTGGTCATGCATCACATGCAGTGGGCACAGTTGCCTTCCAGGCGGCCCTTTTTCACTGCGTTTCTGTTTGACTCTGTGTTTTATTACTTGTTCCTTGGTGTTCCCTGTAGGGGGTGGAGACTGTGGAGAAACCTGAAGTGTGTGGAGAGAAAGTGTTCAGTCAGACCACAAAGACGCTGCTTCAAAGGTATAAGCAGATCTCTTGTCATGTCTGCCATGGCACAGCACTAATGAGGAGTATCAGACCTCACCAAAAGAATATTGGATATAAAATTATGGTTTGAGATGTAGAAGTTTCTCTGACAAGCTAGTGTTAAGCTATACACAATCACATCACGGTGTCACTGAAATACTAATTCCATTAGAATCATGAAAATCATCATTGATGAAATATAAAATTCTCTTTCTCACTCCCTCTCTCTGTCTCTCTCTCACACATATTCAGATTACCAAACACAATGGCTCAGAACCTGTCAGTGGCACTGGCGTTTGTTGCTTTACTTCATCTTGCCAATGAAAAGGTGAGTGTTGTTTGCTGTATGTTTTGTTTATTTGATTTCATTTGTTATTATTATGATGTATGTACTCTCCTCATGAGCTGCAGCATCAAGGGATGGAAAATTAAACCAATGTCAAACTGCACTTCCCATAGCAGCCAGATTGGCTTTAAATGCGAAGGTGGTTAAAGCTAATATGATGTCACCCATTTATTTTGGACTCTGCACCTTGTTGGTTTATTTTGGTGCCAGAAATTATGTCACATGGGTCAAAGCACTGAGTGCTATCACAGCTAATGTTTGTAGTTTGTGTGCATATATATATATAGATATATAGATATATAGATATAGATATAGATATAGATATAGCTTTAGCACCAGGAAACTTCACCAAGGAAGGAATTTGGGTGTGTAACTGGGCAATTTATTTTTCAGTTCATTCATTCTTTATTCCCTGAAATAGGATGTCCAAACATGATTGGCTGGCAGATGTTCCTTAAAGTTACATATCTGGTTCAGCAAGTCCACAGAATACATTAAAATGTAGTACTGCTGTGTCACGCTTACAAGTAGTCAGTCCTGATGTTTGTTTTTGTCTTTTTTACAGAATTTGGAGCTGGTGAAGGTTGATGACATGTCAGATATCATCATCAAACAAGGCCACTGAGGGAATTATGAATCATATGAGGCTTACTGCTACTCTTTTCTTCAATTCTCTTCTTTTTCAGCTCTTTACTTTGTGTATTTTTTTTTCTTTTTGACGCTGTCCTGTTTCTATCTCCTGTCTCTATCTGCTTTTATTCTTTATAATATAATATAATGTTTATTTCTCCTTTTAGTTTGTGCAATTGATGCATATCCTGTGTGTAGCTAATTACTCAACAGCACACAAAAAATGTACATTGTGAACAGAAATAAAAGCTTTTTTTTCTCAAATCTGATGGAGAAATTAAATCCAAAACATGTTACCCCACATTTTCTTGTTCTGTGGCAGTATTTCAGCACACTTAAACAATGGTTTTCAAACAGTTTTCCCAAATTGTTGTAATGCCTTTGATTATTTTTAGCTGCTTCTGATTCAAAGCAGCTTGCAGCAGTCATGACATAAGGGCATGCAATGACCAGTATTCAATCTTCGTCACCAGTTTCATCAGACAAAGAAACCTGTTTGTCAGGACTCAAGCTGCTGGCTGGGTGAAATTTGTGACACCAGGAGAGGGAGGAGTAACTGAGCTGAGGCCACTGCTGCTAATCTAAGAGTGCTGCTCTCCAGTTTCACTGTTGTCCCCTTGAAATATTAACAAAAAAAACATAAACAACTACAACTACATCCTCCTTTACTATCAGAAATGCATTGTGTTACTTTACAGTTATGTTAAGTTAGAAAGCAAGTTTGTCAGCCATCCTGAACACAAAGTTACAAAAGGTTCATTGTTAAGGGTTTCACAGCTAACATATCATGGGTACATCTTGGTATGACGCCTTCTTTAACAATAGAAGAGGGACTGCCGCCTACAGGTGTTTTTGGAGACAACAAAGGAAGTAAACGTATGCACCTGCAAAATAAAAGCACGGAGGTCGACAATGAAAGTGACTCGCTTCAAAGTTATTACAGTTGTTTTACAGGTAGTGAAAATCACGAGTATATAAAATACAATGACGATATTACTGTGTAAAGATTAAAGGAATCATATTTGTTTATATAATCTTTTTTTTCTCTAATGTTTACCCAACCACTTCAGCTGAAAACGATAGGTTGCTTTATTTTGCAAACCAAAGGGCGGAAACGGGGATTGAGTTCACTTAACAGTTGGAAGAAGGCAATTAAGGGAGGAAAAAAACAACCAGGAAGTAAAACCGAGAGAAACGTATTTGCTTCGAGACTTTAAACTGTTTTTAAAGGGTTTTAAATCAACTTGTCATCTTTTATAGAAAGTAGATCCACCAGTTTACGGATAAAGGACATTTTTTCCAGCAAGATGGACACTGATCCGGTAGGTGATAATGACCTTTGTTTATGTTGTTCAGAAAGCCTCCCCGCCGTCACCAGTTAGTTCAGCGACAGTCTCAAACAGGTGTACTTCCACATAAATCAACCTGTACTTAACTTGAAACCTACCTCGGCTGAAAATCACTTATTTAAGTCAGCGCACTAACTTTTTCATTTTTGAGGGAGCAAGTTCTAAGTAAAGCAGCTTAACAAAATGGCCTAATTACACACAGTGCTCAGTACGTGTTGGAAATGATTTTTGTAAAGTTGAGATGCGTTTGTTTTCCATAAAAATAAAGCCGCATACTTCAAGTAAACGTTTCCATGTACTACTGTCTATTTATAACACATGTTGCTAACTGATAAAACGGTTGTTTTTCACGTATTTCAAGAATGTTTCACAGGTCGTTAGTGGAGCCATTCGCCTGTAGCCAAGCTCTGCTGGAGCAAGTAGCAGTTTAATGCTAGCTTACCTTACAAAATAGATATTATCCACTGGGCAACACTTGATGATGATGATGATTATTATTATTATTATTATTATTATTATTATTTCATTAGTAAAGGGGAAAAATAAACTTTTACACGTAGATCAGCTAAAGTGGCGTTCATTACGTGCTAAATTAGGTTTACTGCTCTCATGTTTTAACATTATTTAATGTCGGCACAAGAGAGGCATATGTGTGTGTGTGTGTGTGTGCTTTCCAACATCTTTCTTTGCCTACTTTCATGTCGCAATGGCTGCTATGAAGACTTTTTTTGCTTTTTTGTTAACTAATAACAAAAAAGGCCACATAATGGACTAATTATAATCTGTTGGCAGTCAGTGCTGTTTATTCTGCTGAAATGATAAGAACGTCCAGGTAGTTCTTTAAATATCTGTAATGACTCAACATTGTCGACTTAAATCAAAATACGTTTCCCTCTAGCCTGTAGGAAAATCTTACTTCCTGTAGTATTCAAATCTCAGTGTGTGTCCTCATAGATTAGGGCAGTTTCCCATTTGCCTACATCAGTGTGAGCAGTAAGGATTAAGTGTTTGAATGCATGTTTTGGATTTACAGCTGCAGTCAAACATTTTAACAGGAAATATCTGTTGGAACATTTTAAGGTGTACTTCCTTGATCATTTTCCTCATGCACCAACCACATATTTACAAGACCCCTTATCTGTCAATTTATAAAGAGAGATTTATAAAGTCACTCAGCTTACAACATATCAAATATTTGAATTAGATGCTTAATGTAGCCGCCCTCTGCAGCTGCCTTGGACACTTTACTTTCTGTTTATTGATACTTGATAGGCATCAGCCATTCAGTGGGCCTGAATGACTGACGTGCCAACACTGGTACAGAGGAATGAGAGAGATTAAACACATGTAATGAAGATATAACAAGAAAAAGAAAATTAAAGATGACTCCAGAGTTTGTTTGTTTTTTCAGAAACTTCTTCTGAAAAAGGATGAATGGAAAAGGAGAAAAAGAAAGGAGGGTGGGGTAACAGGAGAGGCGAGAGACACATGACGCAGGAGAACCTGCCCCGTTTCCTAGAGACAGTTTTGTTACAGTCTGTTGCTGACTCATGGGACAGAGTGGTCCCTGCATGTTTACTGACACACACCCAACTGCACACAGCATTTCTGTGCTGAAATCACATGTACAGCTATGTGAGGTAACAGCTGAAGTTTCTCTTGAATGCACACATGCTCTTAGCAGACTTTCACGGATGTATAAAAGTGATCATTTAACAGCCACAAGGTGCAGCTCAAGGGCTTGTAAATAAATACTATGGTTACAAATGGGTCAAAAGGACATATTTACATTACATGCTGCTTTGTCACTTGTAGACACAATCATGGAGGTACTCATGTCCAATAAAACGTGAAGAGGCCGGGCCTCATCAAAGACTTATAAAGGGATATTTTTGTAATTTAGTTGTGGACTTCTGTGAGTCTTTAGAGATTTTCCAGAGACAGGTTTGCAAAAGAAGTAGAACCTTTGATATTCTGACAGTCACTCTGACATTTTTGAGGTCTCAAAGCATAAGTACAGGAGATAGCACTATAGTTTTCAGGCCTGAAGGACACGTTTTGGTTTTGTTAAAACTGATGCTAAACCAGGTTAACATTTTTTTTCCGTTAACAAACTAAGCATCAGTATCAGAGGATATATTATAGTTTCTATCTCAAAATTGCACCTATTTAATGTCTATGACTTGGAGCAAAAGAACAAACTAGTGCTACATGCAGCATATGTTTGATTGATGAGCAGACTTCACTGTTCACCCAGCTGATACTTTTTATTTTTTGAATTGCTCTGCTTGTAGGCATATCATGCCAACTCTATTTTGTGTGCTATATGTGTGTGTGTGTGTGTGTGTGTTGGGGGGGTTCTGCAAATGGATTGCAGCTAACTCTTCTTTAATTACCCTTCTCTACACCAGGAGCGTGGAGGGATAGAAGAAATGCCAGAGCCTAAGGACAAGGTGCAGACTTTAAAGGATCAGGTGGATGGCGTGAAAAGCATCATGACTCAGAATGTGGACCGGATCCTGGCACGAGGAGAAAGGCTGGATGACTTAATGGGCAAGACAGAGGATCTGCAAGCAGGGGTCAGTGTGATCACAAGAGTTTTAACTTTCACTTGGCTGTGTGTAAAAGCAGGCTGAGATGTGGACAATACTCCCATACATGCACACTTGTAAATAAAGCTTGGTAAGCTGTGATCTTAGTGATACTGTTCAGTTAAACAAGAATAACAAGTCACTTCGGGCGGTGTCAGGTTCTCCACATTACAGAACAGAACAGGTGAAGTGTGGCCTTTTTTATGCCCTTATTCAACTTTAAGGATTTTACTAAGTCAACTGTGTAAAATGTAAATAAAACCAAATGAGGTCAACTATAGTGTCCCCTAGCAGTAAAGCTAATTACTCTTTTGTCTGTTTTGTTATCCGTTTGTACTCTTGAGGTTGTGGTTGCAGCAGGAAAAGACTTCTTAGAGCTTAAACACTTGTATTTGGCCACACTCACCTTCCATTTTCATTCATGGAAAAACAAGATCTCAAACACAGTAATAGCATTCATTTCCTAATCAGGCTTAATGTTAAGGCCATAGATGGTGTAAAAGATGGACATGGTTACTGTGACATCTAATGAGGAGTATAAGGGACACATTAGGAAATATTATTATTATGATGAGGAGGAGGAGGAGGCAAAAAAGAGAAATGTTTTCCTTGTAACTATACATCTATACAATGATTTGACATCTTAGTTTCTTGTTCTTGTTCTTATCTTATGTTTAGCTGATCCATCTTGTTCCCTTAAGCTTCATCAGAAATGGTCTCAGTGGCTGGGTGGATGCCAAGTAGCCTTTTTTAAGGAAGGGAAATGGGAATAAAAAGCTGAGGCATGCCACATTTCACCAGAGCTGCACTGAAAATCAGTGGCAACAGCTCTTATGAAGTGATGAATTCAAATGTTTTGGTTTAAGTGCTCATCAGCTTTTACAGAGGAAGACAGGACAGAGGTACAACAGTGAGTGTCTGCACACATCTGTAAAAGAACAATGAAGGCTCTGTCAATGTTTGGCCCTGCATTTCAGTCATTGATGCTGATGGAAATATGAACACAGAAGATTACTGTTGGCTTTAGATCCACCATGCAATATCGTCTGGAAAGCATCTGATTTGTAGAAAAACACACAGAACGAACACCATCAGTCGTGGATTGGTCTCCACAGAGCCCAGACTGGAACATCGTTGAAGCAGTGTGGGATCATCCGGTCAGAAGACAAAAGGCAGAAACATCCAAAGAAGAGTTTGAATGTCTTTCAAGAAGCCTAAGAACTATTCCTGAAGACCACTTAAGCAAAGCTGCCTAAGAGACTCCAGACTGTTGAAGAATAAAAGTGGTGGTAAAAAAGTGAAAAGTGAAAAACAAATTCCTTTTATGTTTGCACATTTCAATCTATTTTCTAACAAAATATTAACAACTCAAGACTAAACAGAGTTATAGCAATAGAATTGATTACATAATTTTATTGATTCTCCTGTCTTTTTCCTTTTGTAGGCTCAGCACTTCAAGCAGACGTCTCACAAGGTGGCTCGCTCCTACTGGTGGAAGAATGTCAAGTTGATTGTGGTCATAATTGTGATCGTCCTAGTTATCGTCCTCATTATCATCTTACTGGCCACAGGAGTCATCCCTACTAGTTCCCCCGTGCCTCCTATAGTTGCTCCCACCCCCAAGCCCTAAACTGACAGAAATTTAAACAATGTATAGTCAGAATAAAATCATAAACATATTCCTATTGCACAATATCGAGGGAAAAAAATAAATATATATATATATATATATATTTATTTATATATTACATACATGTAAACTTGAGCAAATCACTGCTATATGGTGAAACCGTTAATACTACAGTTTCTATGTTGAACTTTTAGGAATTCCAATATTTTATTCTTTGGTTTAAGGGACTTTAATGACAGAACAAGCTTTTGAAAGCCTTTCCCATACAATACCTGCTTCTTCTTTTTTTTTCTTTCTTTTTTTTTTTTACACATCCTAAACCGCTGTGGAACATCAGTGGTCAATGGCAGTAAAACACTACCGGTATTTTTAAAGGATGTTTCATATCAGCACTGTCTGCTCCTCTTTGTTAAACGGATTCACCATAAGCATTTATTTCATCCCAGCAAAGAGCGAGTCTCTTAAACTTTTGTAGTTGAGAAGAATGAAGGTGGATTATTCCAGTCTCATATTTTATGTTAGGTTTGTCTTAGATGTTGTCACTGGTGCACCTTTACAAAAGACAGCGTGTATAACGCAGAGTACGATTTGGATCGACTGTGTCAGGTAATAAAATGGGTAATATCTGGATCCTTTTTGACACTAGAAAATTACCACAGAGTTAACAGTTTTAGGTCACAGTATATTTAATGGGAGGATGAATTGTGGAGTTGATTTTGACATCTGTCTGGCTTCTGGGGGATATTACATAAGCTTCCAAAACCACTCTGGCCCGTCAGGGAACTGGACCTCTGCAGGTGTCCTGTTTAAAATGACAGTGGAACATTAGAAGTGGATGTTTTGGGTACTTCTGACCCTCTGTGATTTGGCTTTTTTTTTTTTTTGGTTCATCCCACTGAAGCCAAATCGGATTTGGATCTGGGGTATGAGGAGGCCAGGTGAACACCAGGAGCTCTTCCATATGTTCTGGAGCCATTCGTTATCAGCAACTTTACCTGTCAGACGTTTGTTGTGGCTGATTGGTGTATTTCAGTCAAAATGCTTCCAGTTTTGTTACAGTCAGACAACATGCATAAGAACGGTTTATTGAATTAATATACTTTGAATACTCTCTAAATGGTGTTTATGAAGTAAGCAATGAAAAGATTACAGTGAAGCCATCAAGTGTGTTGACATTAAATAAGCAGTCGGTTACTACACCACTGAAACAAGGGGTGTAGTTTTAAATTTGCATTGAACTCCTATTCGGACCGTAAAGTTTAACTGATGGCCTACAGCTGACTAGCCACCTGCAGGTATGCAGTGCAGAAACTCACAGCCTTTGGAGGGGAATTGCAATGTCAACCACCTCTACAACACTCCCCCTCTGGCCCGTGTCAGCCACAGTGGTAAACCTTCATAGTCTTTTCAAAAATCCTCCAAGTTTCTGGATGTTACAATACCAGTTTAGTTTCAAAGAGGTCAAAGGGCTTCTGGTGTGAGCTGTATAGAATCATCATATTCTCACTGATCTGTATATTTGTAGACTTTAGCAGACCTCTCCAGGCCTCTTCTGTAGAGGCTATTAATGTTACTTTTTTCTTATTTAATCAGAAGTGAATGAATAAAATCTGAATGTAATTTCTGTATAAATAAATCGTAATTGATTCTGTATACAACCCTAAAGTTTCATGATGAGGTAACAAAATCCCTGTTGGAAAAAATACTTTTTTCCCCTTTTTGGTCTCATCTCTTGATGCCTATAAACCACACTCTTGTTTCTGTAAGACATCTTCAGTGAGTCTGTTGCTGTGTTAAAGGATTTTTTCTACTGTGTGTAACTCTTGTAATTTAAAGCCCTTGAGGGTCTTATTCTGATGACTTATGGTATTTAATGGTTTTGACGGTCTGATAGAGAATAAATTGTATTTTTCTTCTGCTCTGTTGTCATGTCCTCTTCTGTGATCACAGTTTTGCCACAAGATGGAGACAGATTGTGATCTAAGCTCCTGTTTGTCCTCAGTTTGTTCTATCCTATTCTGCTCAGTAGTGTGTACACAATTTAAGTAGGAAAACGCACATGGTAGCACAGCGGTTAGCACTGTTGCCTCACAGCAAGAAGATCCTGAGTTCAATTCGACCATCAGCCTAGCATCTTTCTGTTTGCATGAGTTCCTCCCAGAGTCCCAAGACATATAGTTATTAGGGATAGGTTAATTGGTAACTAAATTGTATTATTGTAGGGTGTACCTTACAATATAAAGTGCTTTATATTGTAATGCTCTGAGTCTATGAGCCTTATGCCATGAGAAGTGAATTCCAGCCCAAACTTACTGTAAACTAACTTACTATCCTTCAATATAGTGGAAACAAAAGACTGTATCTATCACAGAAAATGTCTTTGAACTGAAAACAAAATAGCAAGATTGTGTTTAATGGACATAAAGCAGATTTCACAAGGTCGAGCAGACACTCCCAGCTCTGACTGTCTTCATCCATTTACTGACTCCTCCACAAAATGGGACACGCCTTCGCCCCCGGCATGTCTAATTAAATTCTTTATTTCCTTATTATAGAATATCTTCTATCATGGTTTCCCGACAAAGGCGCTTGCAGTATGCCACATTACCTGCCACATACCCGGCAGTAGTTGATAAGCATTTTTGAAGTCACATGTCTAATGAGACAAGTAAAGAACAAAGAGAAAAAAATCTGTTCAGAGAAATGAATGTGAGTTTATCATTTCATAGCTGTGTAGGAGATCCTTGTCTTGGCTGAGTTGCTGCCTTAAACTGTGGGGTCAGAGGTTACCTTGGTTACATGTGTTTTCTTTGGTGCAGGGTGGCACCACTGTATCGTCACAATGTTTTTCCAGATGATCAAGATTTCCATTACGACACCTTGAAATGCTGCAGATCTGTGACAAACTGACAACAGGCACAGCACGAACATGGCAGACATGCTAAGTGAATATTTAATACACTTTTATAAGCTGAATTCCCAGGAAGCAAACACATTTGACTTAATTTGGCATAATTCTGAGAAAGTTTTTAGAATTCAGATACTTTCTATTATTTTAATCCTGAAAGTTCGGACTGCAGCCTGGCAGAGTTACAAGTTCAGTGTGCCAGTGTTTATCAGCAGTGATCACACAAACAACTGCGGTGCTTTCAGTCTCATATTGTGACAATCCCCCTTGATTCCTTGATCATCCTTCATTCCTCGCCTCACGTCAGAGGAAGCAAGAGTAGTTTTGAGTACAGTCATTTAACAACATTTCATTATAAAGTGATGTCAGATGACACCTGTGCATGCTCAATTATAGTTAGCCTTCTCTGTCCTCGCAGGAGCATTTTAGAAACAGATACATCCCTCAGCCGTTCTGAGATTGATTTCTGAGTCACAGGCAGGAACACAGAGGAGACGAGAAGCAGCAGAAGAGGGAAATTTAAAAAGCCCATTGTCCAGTTAATTATCTCTCCCACCCAAGAATACTAGAGTGCCATAAAGTACAGGCTGAATTGCTCATTATAGGAAATGACATAACTAGTTTCACCAAAGTGAACAAACTATCATTGTAGTTTCCTTGTTTCAGTAATTTTATCATTTACAGTAAATGGTTCTAATATTTATCACAAGAACCCCTTTGCAAAAACAGTTTGATTCATCATAGCAGGAATGCAGTGGTTAGACTGGTTTTGCCAGTCCAATGCCTCATGTTATTGAAGCCTGCATGAACAGTTAGAGTGACTGATGTCATCAGTCATGGTGCTGGCAGCTGTAATACTTTCTTGAACCACGGACAAAACCAAATTATGTTTTGGGGCCTAAAAGATGCTCTGCTAGACTTTTACTGGAGCAAACCTTCACCATGTTTGACAGATAATGTGATGTGCTTCAAATCCAGAGCTCTGGAACAAGTTACATTTTCATGTGTGCAAAGGATTTTTTTTTTCAGAATTGATCAGGTTATTGGCAAAGTCTAATCTGGATTTCTTGTTCTTAATTGTAACAAGTGGTTTGTACCGTGTTGTAAACTCTTTGCAATTCCATTCATGACGGCATCTATGGATTGTAGACCTTCACAATGACATGCCTACTTCCTCCATTGTGTTTTTGACTTGAATGTTGTTTTGAAACTGTATTTTTACTATATTTCTGGCTTATTTTGGTTTTAAAACATCTACTTTAGCCACTAAGCAGTAAGCCACATGAAATTACATGGTGGTATCAGTGGATGCTAATGTGCATAGTGCGAGTTTATTTGCTATAGACCTCCAACGTTCTATGGCCTAAAGATTAGCTCAGGAAAAATGTGTAGAGAGCTTCGTGGAATGTGTTTCCATGTCCAAGCAAAGCCTCATATTTATTTATCAAAGCTACATGATGACACATACAGTGAACAAAGTTTCTATAAAAATGACACATTGTAAGAAAAACATTAACATACTGATACATTTATATCAAAATCTGACACACTTTCAAAGCATCACAATAAAAGTTTTATAAATATCATGTTTTTTAATTATAATTTTACATGTGTCACATTTAAAAGCACAATTAGAAAAGTGTTCACAAAAACAGTTCGAGAACTTACATCTTTACTTTTTCCACAGTGCCTGCCTCTTACAAAACTTTGTGCTTTTCATAATCAGACACAATAATTTAGGATTATGTAAGACCTGCCATCAAATGTCTCTCGCTTCTTTACAATCATTTGTGTTCGCTGCTCCCAGAATGTAACTCTTGCGCACTTTTATGCCTAACTCCAGAATATTCAACTCCAATTTGCCATGTGTATATATATATTTGTTTGTTTTTTTCTGTCGTGTTATTGAATTTTATTTTATTTTTTACAAAATTAACAGAGATCGGAACTTTACTGATAATTTGTCTAAGCAAAAAAAATATCCCCATTCAAAAATGTCATGTCACAACCTCATTGACTTACGGAATGATGCTGTTTGGTCAGATCAAAACTAAATATTGATGAGGACAAAAGGAATCAGAAGCTCCAAAGACAACTCGATGAAGCACTGGAAAGAAATTAAGAAATTCTTCATGAGGAGGAAGAACAGGACACGAAGCAGAGAGACATGGAGCGCAAACTCAAAGACGTGGAGGAAAAAACAGTTACTTCAAGAGAAAGAAGAACACCTTATTCTCCAGGACTTCGAGAGTAAAAATCTAAAACTGCAAGAATTTTCTAATGAAATAAAAGGACAAAACAACAGAACTGGAAGCAGAAAAGGAAAAAAAAACCTCTCCTAATCACACTGTCGTGGTTTTAGCAATAAAATTATGCTTGTGTCAAAAACATAGACTGCATATGGACTTGAAGACAAATATGTAACTTTAAGGAGAAAAATCTGTGTTTAAGATAAATAAATTATGTCTCATTGAGTAGGAAGATGGTGTAAGTGATACTGTAATAAAACGTGTGTGCAGTGCAATCCTCAGCTTTGTGCAGGCACGTCCTGCTTCCATTTAAGCAGCAGAGGGCACTCAAGAGTCGGTTGTTTGCACCATACACTCAGTGGCTCTGAAAGAAAACTTTCACTGTGGATGTCACTAAAACACCACACACATTAGCATAATACTTTGGTTCTTTCATTTGACAAACAGAGCAAAATCGAACAGCAGAATCTGAAGAATAAGCATCTGTAACATTTTAAAGATGTACTATGTTGCACACCTTGTAATCCTCACTTAAGATTCAATTCAATTTTATTTATACGGCGCCAAATCACAGCAACAGTCGCCTCAAGGTGCTTCATATTGTAAGGTGAAGACACAGTAAAAACCACAACAATCAGACACCCCCCTAGTAAAAAAAAAAACTGGTGACAATGGCAAGAAAAACTCCCTTTTAACAGGAACAAACCTTGGGCTCAACAAGGCTCAGGAAGGGGGAAGCAATCTGCCATCTGGTTGTGTATGAGGGCAGATGTTGCCAAAATTTGCACTTAATAGGTCAACATGACGGACTGAGAGATTACTGCAGCATTAGCATAGTGCCTTCTGCATTATACCGATTCTTCACACTGATCAACTTAAAATAACATAGTAAACCTGCTGTTTATACTGAGATGTGATCTGAGATTTATGGACTTGAACAGATGAGACCGAAAGTTTCAAATCTCTAAATCAAGCAAACAGAAACGAGGCTTTTGTCTGTTTTCACACTGCCAGTGCTACTAGGCTCTTCAAACCATCCACCTGGCTCCGGGATCATTTATGGCCTCTACATAGGCCCACGTCAACCAATTGTCTCTCAAAGTTGCAGTTCTGTCATTTTAGACTGAAAATCTGCACCACTTTATCTTGAAAGTGGTAAAAAAAAAACCAACAAAAAAAACCCCTAAATATCTATTTCAACATAATGTGATTTATATGTATAGAAATGTTGCAAAAGGTTCTAAAAGTTAGCTGCCTGTTTATAATCTCCTTTCTCTGTGACTCATTCTGTGTTCATACAGGCTGACTGTAATAGAGAAATTGCTGATTTCCCAGCAGATGGAGACTGAGAGTCCAAATGAGCTGACTCTTGATTAAGTAGATCAGAGGGGATTCCCGCAGAATTTTCCTTGTTGTTCAGTGAAGATCAGGTCTTGATAACATTATGAAGGTTGTTGTGCCACATTTTGGCACACTTTTGCTCTCTGTTTGTCTAATTGCAGGCTTTGCTAATGTGTAGAGAAAAGCAAAAAACAAAAAAAGCTAAACTATGATGCAACATTGGGTTATGGAGTTTAAGTGATTAAAAAAGGGTGTATGCTACAAACTAGACCCAGCTGGTAAGGCTGGTCGCCAGAAAGCCTTCACTGATCAATGTTTTTCTACAGCAACAAGGTCTGTAAAACCACATATCGTTGTGTTGTTTTACAGGCTTTAAGGTGTATTCTGTGTGCATTTTGTCGAAGAAACTGCAAAATAAAA